GAAGTGTTCTGTATGCAAACTGTAGTGGGCCTGGCTTTGTCCAGAGCAGGGCTGCCTTTGTTTTTTAAATATTTATTTTTTAGTTATAGTTGGACACAATACCTTCATTTTATTTATTCATTTTTACGTGGTGCTGAGGATCAAACCTAGGGCCTCTCACATGCTAGGCAAGCGCTCTACCACTCAGCCCCAGCCCCAGCCCCGGGGCTGCCTTCTTTAAACAGGCTTGCAAACCCTTGCCTGGAAAGACAGACCCCTTTCCTCTTCCCTCCCATGGGGACTGCCGTGGTGAAGACTCGTCTTCTTACTGGGAGCTTTAGGGACTACACCAAAAACCAACAACACTCTGGACCCGACAGAGGCCCAGGGCTGGCACTCGGGCCTCACACAGAGTGCAGCTGCACAAGCCCCTCTCCTTGCAGCTGTCTCACCTTCAGAAACTACATGCTTGTCACACATCGAGAGGTTCCTGTCCTTAAACTGCCTGTAATACCACAGATGATACCACGGTCTGGGTGCAAGACGTGCCCTGGAAACCTCACATGAGGTGACATAGGGGTGCTCAGGGGTGAAGTGACAGGATCACGAGGACTGTGACCTCACCAGGGGTTAAGCCAGTTGATGGACTAATAATTTGAAAGGACTTTTGCAGGCAGGTGTGGCGTGGCATGGAGGAGGTCACTGGGGCATGCCACTGGGGACCGACTCGTCTCTGGCACCTGCTTGCTCTCTGCTTCTCACTGCTCTCCTCCACCATGCTCTTTTGCCATGATGTGCTGCTCCTTTACCTTGGCCCAGAGCAATGGAGCCCACTGACCGCGGACTGACCTCTGAGAACAGGGCCAGGATAAACCTTTCCTCCAGGCTGTTGGTGAGCACTGGGTCACAGCGAGGAAAGCTAACATGCACAGCAAGGCTCCCAGAGGCAGAGGGCCAGCATCTGTGCTCCGAGGCCCAACACTAGGAAATCCCAGCCACAGTGGACATGTCAGAGCAAGGTCCCTGAAGAACAGGTGTCCGTGGGGGTAGGGTACAGGCCTGAGACAGGACCTGTCCAGTGATGGCTACAAAACCAAGCTCACAGAGGCCGAGTATCGGAGCACTCACCACTCGGGTCGGGTGACCTCTACATCGATGACCGTTCCCGGAAGTGGGTTCTGAAGTCGTCCTCCAGACTGGGCGAAGAACCTGGCGTTCACACGCTTCTTGACCACGATCACCGTCAGCCTAGGGCTTTAAGGGGTGGATATGACCACAATCAGTGCATCCCACTTCTAAGGCACTCCTGTGTCAGGCTTGTCCCTTTCCCATCATGCCCTGGACAGGGTCAAGGGCCAGGAGTGGAGTGCAGGTAGGGCAAGGCAGCGAGTGTGCCTAGGACAGAGCACAGGCAGCCCGTCAGGCCCAGAGGACACTCTGCAGTGGGTACTTCCTACTGTGTAGAAAAGCTCCTCATTTTGGACACCTGGCAGGCGGCTCCATCAGCAGCCTCAAGTCTAACCCACCACTTTCTAAACTCATTAGCTCCCAGCATGCTAGGGCTGCAGGGGTGATAGATGCTCCCGGTCACTGTTTCAGGGCCTATCAGTGGGCCACATGATGCACACAGGCCCAGAAGGCTCTCCCACACTGAACGGAACCACACCACTAGCTGGAGCCCGACCCTGATCCTCCCATGCAACCCTGGCCTGGCACCTCTGAAAGGCCCCTTTCTACTGCCCTGGGCCAGGGGCACTTGTGTGCACAGAGTCCACGCAGGAGTTGGTGACGAGGACACACAAAGCCTCAGGAGACGACTGTTCCTAGCAGCTCTTGGCCAACACCAGGATGGGCGGTGCCTCCATTACTGCAGGTGAATGCAGGTCCCTGGGGGCCTGGACACCTCAGGTCCCATGCTACGGGCTGATGGGCTGCTCAGCACAGGCTCCAGGAACACCTGACTCAGCAACTCCAGTTTCTCCAGTGAGAACCGAGTAGGGAGGAGTCTGTGAGCCCATGTGGGAACTGACATCAAGCCAGACCTAACCGACTTCCTCAGCAGCAGGTCAGCGGGGGACCAAGAAGCACCACCCTTGGCCCACAGAGTTCTGCTGCTGCCAGTCCTGCCCCCAACCCCTGCGATGGCTCTGCACATAGCACCAGGACCAACACCAGGGCCCAATGAGACCCACGTGCTGAGGAGCTGTGGCCCATCTCAAGCCCTCAAGCCTGTCCACCCTTGAGATGGGCTTCGAGCAGGGTCTGCGGTGACTGTTGACAGGACTCTAGAGTACCCAAAATAAGCACTTGCCTCAGCAGCTAGCATTGGGTGGGTGATGCTGGTCCTGTGACAGCACAAGGAAGGTTCAGCCAACTTGGACATGACACCAGTACCTTTCTGACTTGTTCTTACATCAGGCACTCCCCCACATCAGCTGACCACGATGCTTTTCCACAGAGGGTCGGACTGATATGTCCACCAATGACAGACATCGTGGTTCCAGAGAATAAGTTAAAAACTTTGACACGCAGACCAAGTTTCTCAGCAGTGAGAAATAATCCCCGACACTATTTTTCTTTTATACACAAAGGTGAAGCTTTTTCCTGGAAGCACTATTTACTATTTTTGTCAGCTCCTAAGTACTGTGTACTCTCCACTGCTCCTTGCAGTGGCTGGGGTGAGCCTCTCCCCGTCCTGCTCACAGGGTGATGTCGCATCAACCTGACCCTTGTCTTGGACACAGTGCTCTCCCCTGCTGCCTACTCCAGCACTGTCCACGGAAACTCCAGGACAGTGTGCAACACACTGGTCCCACCAGAGGCCTGTGCCCATGAGCCAGGGCAGGGGAGCCACAAACTCGCCAGCCAGCGCTGGAAGACAGCCCTGTGTGGCGGTCACTTACCTTTGCCCAAGATGACACAGTTTCAAAGACAAAAGAGTAAATTTGTGACAGCGACTGCGGGCCTGTTGGTGTGCTTACTTGTAGCCTCTACCAACGGACTTGAGGCAATCCAGGAACTGTGGGACCTCGTAGTTGACCAGGGTCTTCAGCTGGCCGTCCCCGACACCGTCCCGGTACACAATGATACGGCTGGGCATGTACTCATTACAGCTGTTCCAGGCCCTCAGAGCCGCTGTGGGCAGCACGGGGCCATCACAAGTGGGCCAGGGACACAGCCTTTCCCCCACCCTGGGCAAGCTTCCCAACACACCAGCCCAGGGCTCGCTCCTGAGGATGCTCCAGGACAGAAGGGAGCGCGCAGGCCTACCTTGCAAGCACACCTTGAGCCCATCTACCAGCTCCTGTCCACGATCTTGAAAGACACATCGTGAGAACCAGCTGTTCATGGAAAAGTGTGACCAGTGAGGCCCACGGCCTCTAGCTTCCCCTCTCAGCTGCTCTATAGCTACCTGCTCTCAGGGGCAGGTCATGCCTGCCACCTCCTTTAAGGGGTCTCCTAATGTCTCCTTAAATAAGCAGAAGTGGCAGGAGACCATAAATCCTTTGTAACTCTCAAAATAAGTTTTCTCCAATTAAAAACCAACCATGTTACTTCCCCGTGCTGAGGAGAAAGCAGGAGATAAGCTAGGATCCCACTGCCCTGCTCCTGAGAAGTCACCCTTAGGGGTCTTGCTTTTCTCAAGATCAAAGCTGGCACCCGTTCACCAGTGATGCCGACAGCTTCTGCATCTGTCAATCCACTCAGTTCCCAGGAGAACCCTGAAGATTGGGTCTACAGTGCAGGAATACAAGTGGCCAGTGAACTGTTTTCTCTACATTGGAAACCTGAAGTCCCATCTCAGTAGCCAATAAAAATAGCTAATCAGGAAAGTTTGAGACTGGGCCACCTTTACTGAGATGAAAGGACATGTGACCCAGAATGCCTCTGAGAATGGTACTGAGAACGGTACGGAGGGCAGAGGAGGGCAGGGTGGGCAGGTGCTGCCCTTTCCTTCCACCAGGATGAAGCAGAATGTACTCATAGGCCTGCAGCATGGCCCAGCTCAGGGCTCACTTACCTGTCTTGTCATAGCGTCCATCCCCATGGTGACATGGGGTCTCACTCACCGGGTCATCCCTTCATTGATGCTGGCCACAAATCCTGCAATTGACCTCCGTCCAGCTGTGGTGTCATGGTAACAATCAATGCCAACTATCATTGCCAGCTTCAGCTTTAACATGAATATTGCCGTTTTAGAAACTGAACAATGGCACCACAGAAAAAAGACTCGTCTTTCTTAATGCCCACAGAACATCTCGCCCACCACAAGCCCGGCTCACCGGCATGTCCACTCGCCAGAGCTCGCCGCCCATCTTGCAGTTCATCTGCAGGGCGATCTTGGTAGCGATGGCCATGACCGTCTGCTGTTTGCCCAGGGTCCGGGCCACCACACACTGGCTTGGGGTGGGGCAGTCCGTACACAAGTACTTTTTGATGGCATCATATTTGTCCTTCCGATTACTTGACAACAGACAAACAACCTACAAAACAAGGGGATGACCTCGTCACAAGCAGCCAGGAGCATGAAGGTTAGGACTGGGCTGAGAGCAGACAGCAAGCTCAGGGGCAGACTGTGAGGGCCACCTGCACAAGCTCTGCTGGGCGTCTGTCAGGTAGCTCATTAGCAGGATAGCAACAACACCAAGGCCTGCACATGGCAGCTGGCCCAGGGCAGAGAGCTTGTCAAGCTGATTGTGTGGCCATGGTGGGACGTCCTTAGAGGTGCTCACGGAGCCAGGCACACTCCAGGACCAGCCTGGAAGGACTCGGGACAGTGCTAGCTGGCAAGGACTCCCAAGCAGACACAGTCTAGTTACTCTAGTTCATGTAGGATCATGGCTTACGATCCTGAAAGCTCGGGGTCACCTGACCCAGGCAGTAGTCTTCCTAGAAGTCTGAGGGCCATCCTGAGGCCAAGGTGAAGCACCACATCTCCATGCACCACCCAAATTCTAGGGCTGCAGGTTTAAGTTTTGGAGCTGAATCCAGCTCATGAACTCACTGTCATTTCCCCACAGATCGCAGAGCCTCATTTTTCTATGGTCTCCAAGAAAGTTGCTGTCTACCTGGGCACGTGCACTGTTCCAGGCAACAGCTGTGATCTGCCTGTGGCATCCAAGGACAAAAAGAAGGGCTGAACCAGGGGCTGATGAGATGCAGCCAGCCCTTCTCTGGGCTGAAAGCCATGTGGAATATGTCCTTGTCCCTTGTCAGAGGCCTACCAGGGCTACAGGTAAACATCCAGGGTGCAGGAGGCACTGTGCCTAGCCTCCCAGAGCTGGGCGTTGCCCTCTGATGTTCTCTAGAAATGGCCAGCATGTGGGCTCCTAGAACAGCTCAGCATGGCCTCCCCTCCAACCCTTGTTCCTCCTCAAGAGGCCCTCTCCCTCCTGCACAGCACTCACCCCATGCTGCCGTCTGCTGGTGGTAACCTGCACACATGCTCTCTGCAACTTTATGGTACAGTGTAAAAGCAACAGGAATTTACTAAACTGCTATGCGTTGGCCACCATAGTTTCAGGTCATGAATCTGACTAGAAAATAGGAGCTGCCAACTGCCAGAGATGAACTGCAACAGCAGCCTCGGGACTTGACAAGGCAGGGACCCAGCCAGACAATAGAATAGGCACACTGTCTGCCAAGTGGAGGAGCCTGGATTCAAGGGACCTTCTGAGCAGAGTGCAGAATGCTCCTCCCAGGTCTGGGGACACAGTGTGGAGTTCCTCAGGGGACCATCACCTCCTGCCTCACCTGCTATCACTTCCCCCAACCCTGAACAGGAGGTTCTATGGGAGTGGGGGATCCAGCCCCCACCACAACTCTACTTCCCACATGGGAAGGTGGCTAGACTCAGACATAGCCTGGTGTTTGCAAAGGCCATGCCTTTCATGCCAAACAGGACGATCCACACAATGTCTATCTCCAAAGAATTTCTGGGTGCAGAGACACTGGAACAGAGAAAGCTTGCTGCAAATTTTTAAGTGAAACCTTTGCCAGAGAACATTCAGGCAAGAGAAGAGCGTGACTGGGTGTGTGAGCGAGCGAGCCAGCTGCAGGCCACCAAGGCAGGGCCACAGCACAAAGAGGGCAACATCCACATACAGCAAGAGGACCCTCTCTGCAGGAGGGACAGTGCCTGCAGCCCAGTGCCCTGTGAACTACATGTGTCAGGAAGCCTGTGGCCCAAGGCCTTCCAGCCAGGAAGTGGGGGATGATTTTCCTTTCATGGTATTTCAGGAGATTCGCTGGGTCTCTAGACTGCACTGGAGGGGCGTGGGTGGGACCACGGGCAGAGCCAGGCAGCTGGCACTGCTGGGTTCTCACAGAGTCCATGCAGGACCGACCACTGTGGGCACTGCCTCCAGTGCTTTCATGTGTGGAGATGCCACCCAGGCACTTCCAGGGTCACGCGAGTGGCCAGGCCGGGGTCCAGTGCCAGACCTCACACTCTGACTGCCCCCACTACAGACTGCAACAGGAATAGGAAAGCCAACACTGCTCAAGTCCAAACCAGGGATGCAATAAGACCACCTGCCACGTCCTCTGCCCCTCCAGAGCTCGCCTGGGCCAACTGCCACGACCGAGGAGCCTCAGACCGCACACTGCTCCACACCTTCTCACGTCACTCCCCCCAGGGGCTGGTCACACACGACGGACAGACACTTGAACCAAGACCAAGGGGACACCTCTCAGGAGTGGGGCCCCAGTGCCTTTCATTTCCTGGTGGCCTGGATGCTGATCTTCACAATCTCTGGGAGCTGCAGGCTGCACCCTGGGCAGTCCCTGCCCATTTCTGCGTAGCTACACTGCTGCCTGTGCGGAACACCACCACTGACCCATTTTGTCTTTTTCCCAAATTTTCTAGGATAATCAAAGCCTTCGAGTCAGAACAAGCTTAAGATAGCCTCCTTTCCTCCCCTTCCTCACCCCTGGCAGAGCCTGTGCCAGGTTCCCAGGCACATAGCAACACCAGATCAGCTGCCATGTGGAGGGAAGGGCATGTTCTGTGGCTCATCTGGGGGTCCAGGGCTAATGCCTGGAGAAGGAGCTTCAAGTTCCAGGACTCGCAGATGTCACTTGAACATCCCCCACCCAGTGTATCCAAGGCCCAGCGGCCACTTACTATCTGGGTATCTGATGTAACCTTTTGCTGCAAGACGCGCAGGTAGGACTCGGTTCTATCGTCCACTTCAATCCTGCAGTGGAAGCACACAGGCCGACATTCAGAAAAGGAAGCAAAGGTCACGCTGCGCATGCAATTGTCCTAGAGGCTGCAACTCGCGACACATTTCTGCACAGAATATGAAATAAAATGTCCAGAACTGCCCGTTAGGCAAGAGGCTGCTGCACAGAACCAGGCTGGCAGCATCAGTGCAATCTGTTCTGCCTGAGCATCCCCGGGATTCCTGGGGACTCTTCAGCATAACCAGTCGGGAGCTCTGAGCCCCACACCCTCCGGGAATGATGCCTCACTTTCTTGAGAAGTGACGTGATTGCTTACATGATTGCCTTTTTCATCTGTATGCCCATGGCTGGTGTCACCTTGAAAAGATTTTGGATCAGTGAGTTGGCAGCTTCGTAGTTCCTGCGCGTGTAGACGAGCAGCCAGTTATCCAGTGGCTTGACGCTGATCAGCGGTGCACCCCTTGTTTCTTTTGACCAGTCTGCAAACTGTGGATTGTAGTCAAACTAGAAAAAAGTTCAGAGATGCTGTGAGCCTGCTGTGTACTCCTGAGGACACAGCCAGAACGTCCTCATGATTCTGCCAAGCTACTGTGACCCTTAGGCCACTATGCTTGAGCTGCAGCCAGCAGCAGAGGAAACACCCGAGGGGGAAACATTAAAAAATGTGCCCGGAAGACAGTGGCACCTGTTTTAAGTGCACCCATGCCGCTTCACTAGCTCCCCCAGGCACTGCCCAGGTGCCTCAGGTGAACTTGCCTTCTTCTCCGCCAAAGTCTTTCAAGGACAGGTGTTCTTACGAAAAACAAAAAATAAGACTTGAAAGTCAAACTACTTGAATTAGTGTCTGATACTGAAACCAAGCTATAACCCAGCTGCTAGCTGGACAGAGGCGGCAGCGGCCCTGTGGTGGCCCTCAGGGGCAATGCCCAGTTCCTTCCACTGCTTGGCCTGCTCCCCAAGGGTCCCCATGGAGGGACACATCTTTTTGTGGTCTCTACAAAGGACATCAGAAATGATTGCATCACACTATTCCATTATCTGACAATGTTGCTCCCAGCTGGGACAGTGGAAGGGCAGAGTTGGCTAGAAGATGATTTAAAGTATTGGAAATTTGCAACATTATGATTACATAAAAGTCTTCCAGAATATGTGCTTTCCCCTTTCTGAATGTGAAAGGTACAATAGCACACACATCTACAAACTGTCCACACAGAACGTCAATTAGATCTGTAGTTTTCCATGTAAAAAGTTGCTTCAGGGACAGACGACGTGCGAGTCAGATAACACTGCTCTGCTATGCCTTAACTCAGTAACTGGGGTCACTTGAAAAAACAGCCAAGTCCCCTTTAGGCCAGGTCCTAGGGCTGCCGAGTGCTCTGGTGTGTGTAGGTCATGAGGATGTGGCAGCTGGTGACAGCACCAGTTTGGTGCTCAGGCTATGTCCTCTAGCTTCACCCTAGTCTGGCCTACGTCTCACTTGATCCACTGCCTTAAAAACTGCCTTACCGTTTTTCCACCTTGGTGAATCTTTTCAGCTTGCAAAATTCGTCCTGAGAAAGACAGTAAGTTGGAGTCGAAGCTCAACCCCCAGTCTCGAAGCTCCCTCTGCACGTTGTCATCTCTGCAAATGGAAAACAAGCTTGTGCTGAGCCCCAGTGGACACGTGTGCAGAGTGCACCCAGGACTGCCTCAGCTGAGGTTGTGCAGGGCAAGCTCCCCATCCCTCCCCTTCTCTCCAGGACACCTTCAGTTTAGAACCCTGAGACCCAAACTCCTGCTGCTCAGAGCAAGTCCTACGTAGGGCAGATATCTGCCCCAACGCCCCCTCCTCCAGCCGGCCCCTTCTCCCAACAGGACTGAAGTGAAGCTTTATTCAAAGTGTTTGGCTCACTGAGGAGCAGAAGACAGGCCTTGCAACAAGGCCACACAGGAGCCCAGACCCTGTGGACACGCAGTGGCCGCGCCAGGCACCTACTTGTGGATGTAGTCAATGAGGCGGCCCACCTCCCGCTGCCGCTGCTCAGGAGTCAGCCGCGTGTGCACTGCCAGGTCCTTCATCACATTGAAGTCATTCCGCATCTTGTCAGTGAGACCTGCACACAAAGCACAGAGGGGTGAACTTCTTGTACCGAGCTCTGTAGCAAGGCAGGTGTGGGAAGGGGGTGCCTAGGAGGGGAAGCCGCCCCCACAGGGTTGCTAGGAGGGCTGCAGGTGAAGGAGCCTGGGGAGTGGCCATTCTCTGGGACAGTGGCCCAGGAGTTGGGCAGCCTACCTGTGAGGTAGCAGAGCTCAGGGATGAGCATGGCGGGGCCAGGCAACGTGCCCCCAGGACCCCTTCTCCTCTTGGGCTGGCTGACCAGGACTGGCTGCTTCAGGTCGGTGATCTCTTGGTTATACTGCTGCTCAGGACAGGAAGGGGGGAGGTGATCACCAGGGAGCAGGTCACCTGGAGACAGAGGTGTGACTCTGGCTCTTAATTAAGGGTAAGGGCAAGGCCAAGGGCAAGGGCAAGGCCAAGTGGCAGGGTGGTTTTCAAGCACAGCATGAACATGCACTTCTAACTCTACTGGGACTAATCACCTCTCCTCTCCCCACAAACTAGGCCACCCAGGAGAGCTCAGCAGAGTGGACAAATGGCCCGTGGTTGAGAGGGAAACCCTGGTGGGAGTCTCCAGGAGTGCAGGCGAGGAGCCCTCAGCACTCAGGGGCTTTGAAGGCTTTAGTTGGGGAGTCGATCCCTGCCTCCAACTTGAAAGGGGGGGACAAAAGTACAGATGCTCACAACACCTAGACACAATGTCAGCATACATGGGCTTGGGCCCGGCTTCACCATCCCAGACCCTCCAAAGACCACCTGAGTTCTCACTGCAGCTCCTTTCCTGTGCCATCCAGACTCTCCTTCCTGTCATTTCCTGGAGCCCCCACATCTTTACCATCCCACTTAATTTATAATCACTTTTTAAAAACTCACACAATCCCACTGGGCAGAGAGGGAGGAGCATGGCATAGCCATGACTGACTTTGAGAGCCCAGACACCTACCCGGGCCTCATTCCTTTCTGAATGAAGGGACCAGGTTTCAGCCTGGCCCTGCCATCCAGGTCAAGAGTTACCTGCCAGCTCCTACTATACTTCCCCTATACCTGAAGCACAGCACTCATTTCTGTTTTAAGTTTCTGGCCCTGATGACTATCCCCAAAACCCCTCTCTTCTGCTCCAATGTCTTCTAGATTTCACCTTTCTCCCCAAGACCACTCACCACTGCACCTACAATGACCACCAAAAGTCTCAAGGACCTATCAGACGCCCCCAGCCTCGCCCATCAGTTGTGTCTGCCACAGTTAACCAGGTACACCACCCCTGGGCCACCCCCATCCCAAGGCACCAGAAGCTGAATCCAGGTCAGCACCAGGGCCAAGCAGGCAGAGCACAACAAAGGGAGTCTGGCAGAGCCTTTGGTCAGCAGGAGGGTTGGGACCAGTCCTGAGGACCACACAGCAGGAAGGGCAGCCTCGCAGAAGGGCAATACCAGAGTGAAAACATGTCACAGCAGGAGAGCCTGGGAGCAAAGGCAGTAGCAGGTCTAAAACCAGGGAAGGGGGGACGAGGTGGTGGCACTGCAATAACCAGCACCGCAGCCCTCTGCAGTCTTCCACAGCACTGGGTGTGACCAGGAAGACCCTGCTGGAGTGTAGTCCCTGCATGCATCGAGGGGCTAGGCACACCTCATGCAGCATCTGAGACATCCAGACACTTAGAACAAGGAGGCAGCTGAGTAAAGGCACACCTGGTCTGAAACTACCCCTGCCCCGAAGCCCAAGAATAAGGCTTGAGGTCACCCAAGGTGCACCACCCAAGGTGCCGAGCAGAGTAACAGCAGTGGTGATGTGCAGAGAGCCATCTGCAGGTGTCTTGTCTCCCCTGGCCTCACTTCATATTGATACCCAATTTCCAGCTGCTCTCGTCTCTATTTGATGATGACAAGCACTGACCTCTCCCATCCCCAACAGTGACCACTAAAAGGCACAGCTCAGTCCCCACAGCCACTTCTGACTACAGGGATCTAAACAGGTAGAGTTGGAGTCCCTGGGAGTGTGGAGGCTGGGGACAGCAGCAGAAGAAGCTGTGATGACCCCTGCCCCTCCCAGGCCCCTTAGCAGTAGTCCCAGCAGGCAGCTGAGGACCACCCAAGGCTGCTGATGGTGCACCTTCCATGGAGGACACACATGGCAAGAGCTCATGTGCCCAGACTCTCAGGAACAGAAAACACTCCAATAAAGGCACAAAAATAAAATCTGTTTCAGACAGGTTTTAAAGACAGGTTTGAAGGCATCAACTGACAGTACTCGGGAGGTAACTTCCTTTACTGGTAATACGGTGGACAAAGCAGGTGGCCTTCTGCAGGTCAGAGCATGTCTGCAGCCCTCCAGCAGTCCCGTGTGGACACTCTTCTCTGCCCACCAGCAGTCTCCTGCTACCCTCTGACCCTGCTGGTGTGGTGATGACCATGCCCCTCCTTCACAAGGCTGGGTCAGGAGACTGCCCAGAAACCCGACAAGCCCATTTGAACCTTACACATGTGAATCCAAAGCTAGAGTTCCCACAGGAGACTAGTACAGTGGGTGCCAAGGTGGACCAGCTGTGACCCTGGGCCCCAGGTGAAGTTAGCTGAAATGCTGGCTACAGCACAAAGGATCCAAGTGAGCTGTTACTCAGCACATTTACCACCTGCAAGTTCAACTTTGGTCTTTCCTTCTGCTAGAGAAGGGAAGCTGGGAGGTGCTTCTCATCATGGCGCCATACTGCCCAGTGGAGGGTGCGTGGTGTGCATGTTCACCGGGGAGCTAGGTGACAGGCCTGCAAGGCTGGCCTCGTACCTTCCGGTAGTACTCCAGGAAGCTGACCTCCGAGCCATCTGCCTTCTTGAAGGTGCTCTTTGGATTCTGGTCCCAGTCGATATCATCTACCCTGTAGGTCTTGTTATTGTACCTGTGGGCCAAGCACCAGAGAGAGAACAAGCATTTGGTAGAAACACAGGGCAGAGGACAAAGCAGGACCAGGCAGCCTACTTCTCTGGCATCACCAGTCTCCTGGTCATGTTCCCCAGACACTGACCCCAGAAGGGTGACAAGTGGCCTCTTTCTCCCAATCCCTCCCCAACCTCACACATCACAGAACTAGAAAGCCACATGCCCTGAAGGCTTGCGCGAAGGAGGTTCTGCACTTAAAGATTAGGCTTACTTGGTCAGAACAATCAGCCCTATCAGCTCCTTGGAAACTTGTTCCTGAAACTTGTGCTCCTCTGTCTGGTGGTACAGGTTGAACATGAAGTCCAGCACCGTCTCACTGCGTAGCACTTTGTGGCTGACGTCGGTACACAGCATGATGTTGTTCTCGTACTGAAGGATGGAAGTGGTGAAGCCAGGCCAGATCACCAACCTGTCGAGGACAGCGCTGGTCACGGGGGCCCAGACACCAGTGCAAGCTACTTCAAGTTGGGTCCCTCAGCTCCAAAGAGACCTTTCAAGGCTTCAATAGCCTCATATGGTAGTAATGATCGTTTAGAGGTTCCCTTTTAAATAAACACACAAACTTGACTGGGCTCTCCTTTACACTGATCCACCTGCTGCAAGTGCCTGCATCACAACAAACCCAAACCACCTGAGCCATAGCTGTGACAGCACAGTGACTTCTGCCTGGGGACCTCATCACCAGAGGGCAAAGCTCAAACTGAGTGCTGGATAGATGCTTATGCCTCTCTGGTGACATCAATGTTATTATGTTGCTTTGTCCTTGAATCCAAGTATTGCAGGGTGAGTTCTTAAGGCAAACCAAGTTACATGTTCCCCTAACGTGACATGCACCATTAGAGATACTGTTACATCAGACCACCACTCTCAAAGTCTGGGCAGAGAGAAACATAGGATTTCCCATTTCATACAAACCTATGATTTGGAATATCAATAGGGTCACTTGGGTTATAATAGTTCCGTCCAATTTGTTGCAAATTCATGATTTTCAAGAGCCTGGAGAGTAGAAAGTGAGCAGTTATAAAAGTGAGGGTGGAAAGCATCCAGTCCTGCCTATGGGACAGTGGGCTGCTCTGGGCAGGACTGGCCCTCATGTGCCTGGGACCCAGCAATGAGTTCCAAACATTTCAGAGTTTGGGAAAAGATCCCAAGACACACGAATTACATGAAATTCCGATTTGCATGTCTATCAGTTAGGTTCTCCTGGAAGCCAGCCCTGGTGTTCGTTTGCTGCCTGAGGCTCCTCAGGCCCAGCAGCTGAGGCTGGGAAGGCATGGTGCTGACCAGGCAGCCCTCTGCAGAGCCACCCTGCCAAGCCTTGATTGGAAATCCATAGATGTACCAATCACATTAATTCAAAATAAAGGATAATTTTCTATGAGCAATTTTAAAAGGTAAATTACAAATCCAAATCTCATAGCCCATTATTCAGCCTTCAGATTCTTTTTACCCAGAAAATAAACTCTCTGCCAGCATGTCTTTATTTTAGCTTTGGAAGATATGGCATGCACACTGACGACCAGTACGAGCCAGCCGCTGTCATCTCTCACCACAGGAAGGTGTGGAGAGGTCTCACCCACCCCTCCCAACCAGAGCCCCCCAGGGAAGGGTGACCCTGGCCCAGCACAGGCAGGGTTTTGAGGACCTGACATCAACACAAACAGGGAAATTAAAGTTAAGGGCTGGCTTGAAGCAAACTGCATGCTGATAAACAACACCTGAACCCACCCAGCCCCAGTTTCAATCCCAGGAATATTGCAATGAAGTCACACAGGGCATAAAGCCAGGTTGTGGATCAAAACCTAGAACTTGGAGGCCTTTACATAATTTTTATATATATATATGTATTATATGTAATCTTCGAATGTTCTAATCATTCACCTATTTTCTCAAAAGGAAAAAATTCTTAACACACATTATTATAAAAATTACCCTAAGTGGCATATTTGTTGCTCAATCTGTTTTCCTAGGTTATCATTCCCACCTGGGATGATAAGACATGATGGTTAAAATCATGGCAATCCAGAGACACTGGCTCACCCAACATGGCAAAGCCCAGGTAACAGGTGCACATGTATTCTCTATATACTTCTTCCAGCTTTTCTGTTTTAAATCCTTAATAAAATACTCAAAAAAGTTTAACCACACTCACCTCCTGAATATGATGTTATAAAACTGCAGACAGGTTGGCGATGTGGGTGGGAGCTCATTGGTCAGCGTGATGGTGATCCGGACATGCTCTCCATTCCGGGTTTGGCTGAACACTTCTGTGACCTGCAGCCAACAAGGTGGGAGACCAGCTTCCAATTCTTATGGAAACCAAACCCAAAACACAATGCCTCTAACAAGGCAACCCTAAAGTCGTCATTGAAAGATGGATGTACTGCAGTCCTGGGGACATAACCCATGGCCTCACGTGCATTCCAGGCAAATGCGTTACCACTGAACTACACCCATCCCCAGGCCTAGGAAGTACATTTTTTAATAGCACTTTTAGAAAAGGATTAGGAGGAAGAGTGAGCGAGCCCCCATCACAATTTGCTGTAGCCCTTCAGTTTCCTAGTGGACTTGACAAAGGCACGTGATGCCAGTGTGGCCTCTGGGTTAGCCATAGGCCAATGGACAGGAGACCCCCAGGGCCTCTTCCAAAGTCCCCATCACCCTCTCCCCACCCAGACATGTGAAATAACCTTGTGCTGTAGTCTTTTAGGTAAAAATAATATTGTTCCATCAAAAGCATGACACCTTCCAATGAGATCTTCATGCTGGAAGAGGAGTGCAGAGCGGAGCCTCCTGGCCTCCATCAGCGGGTTGTAGTCAATGTGGTACTGGTAGAGTGCCCACTGGGGACGGGAGGTCAGCCGGAAGTGGTTGGTGCTCAGCCTCACTATGATGCCTGAAGATCCTGCAGAGCCGGCCACACTTGGTTAGCACAAGTCCAGAGTGTCCTTCCTGGAATCTTGCCTTCTGAGAACAGAGCTCAGAGCAGCAATCAGTATCCGGTTCCCAGAGCCCGGACTTGGGCACCACCATCCTACTTGTTCAGGGACTTCTTGAGAGTCCCGTTTTTGGCAACAAACCCTCCCTGGACCAAGGGATTCACATCAAAAACCAGCTGTCTCTAAGGCAAATGGTGTTGAAGGGTCCCATGTACTACCTAATACAGTAACATGGTGTGCAGTCCCGGACACCCCAGTCATTCCATCAACGCTAAGGGCTTCACACAAACAGCAAGACAATGCGCTTCTATTCCCTGCTTTGTGCTGAAAGTGACCTCCTGAAATGATCTACCAACTCTGTCCTGGACTCCTTGACATGCCATGCATGGTCTAGGTTCTTTGAGCCTGAACATGACCTTCTGAAATGTTCTGCCCACTCACCTGTTTTGGACTCCTTGACATGGTCGAGGTTCTGTCTGGTGTTCACACCGAGGTCATGAAAGTCCCTGCGCCGCCCTCCTCTCTCGGCCAACGACAGCTCCTGAAACCCAGCTGAAATCTGAAGCTCTTGAAAGACAAGAGGGAAAATGGAGCACATGGGCAATGGCAGGCCGAAAGAGAATGGCAGTGTGATGCCCTCCTGCGGAGGGCTGCTCCCCATGGCACATCTCCATGGCACCCCTCTGTGGGAAGACCCCTGCCAGGCTTCTACTATCTGGAGTTTTAAAGACCTCCACCCTGGTATCTCCTGACATATGTCATGCTACGTGGAGCTGCAGCAACGGGGGGCTGACCCAGTTCACACCCAGAACCCATAATGGAAGACCCAAGCCTAACACACTACGTGGAACCTCTTCACCATCAGACATGTAACTGCTTTTAGTTATCTACTCAAGTTAGCCCAGCTTTTGATGCGATTACTAATGATGCCAAGAAATGGTCTAAAACGGCTTATTTAGGCACGATAAGCAAACTGACGAGTGATTTGAAATTTAATCACTTTGTAATCACTACTACAGGCCTTGGCAAGCCTACAGTCTCTGTTTTCAAGCAGAAAAGAAATTTGGTGCCCCTAGCACCTGTGGGCTATCCAGAGACCTGCTGGGCCCTGTAAGAGCTGCAAGAGCAGCCGCTGCCCAGGGCCAGCACTGCACACCCCATGGCTGCTCCAGGTCCCTCCCACTCTCCTCCACCTGGTGGCTTGGCTGTGGCTCCTGCTGCTCCTCTCTGCCGTCCTCGGCCGACCAAGTCCCCTTCTGCTGGTGGCTGCTGAGGTCTCTGCTGAATGTACCCTGGCTGCTGACTCTGCTGGTGCACAAAGAAGAGCCACTCTCAGGTCAGAGTCCAGATACCATCGAGACCAGCTTAACCCAGTCTCAGCTACTCAAACACCACCTCCCAGATTCCCAAGTGTTCTGTTTTAAAAAAGAAATGCCTTTGAGGCAAGAGTCACAAATGATGTCAAGAGCCAGTTTTTCAAACAGGTGCTCGGTTCTCGGCTTCTTCCCAGAACAAAGCTGTTTTGGATATTTATTTATTGGTGCTGGAGATCAGACCTGGGGCCTCCCAGCTACTAGGCAAGGGTTCTACCATTGAGCTACATGGGAGCCCAAGGTGGTCAATGGTCTCTAAGACCCTTATGAGGCAGAAAAAACTAGTGCTCACTGCGGCTGCCCCTACATGCTGTGCCGTCTCCTGACCTCGGGCCCTTCCCCGGGCTCTGGCTCTGGCTCGCCCAGTCATCGTTTCTGGAGAGGAAATAATTGTGAAGACAATGTCATGCATAATCACGTCTGGCCATTTCTACAAGGTTACCTTTAAACATTAAGATCCTAAGATAAGCTCCTTGATTATCACATGCTGGACTCTTCTCAGCAGTTTCTCAGGGAAACACCCATTCCTACATCCCACAAGCTTGGCCTGGCCACTGCCCCAGGTGGTAGGGCCAAGTGGAAAACATTTCAACACAAGGTTTAGTTTCCAAGAGAATCAGTATAGACTGACGCAGGAGAGGCAAAGTGTCCCGAGAATTCAGTGATGGCAAACAGGCTCTCCACCTGGGTACTGCACACTCTGGTATAATCTGCCACAAAACTGGCATTTGTGGCATGTTTCCAGCAAGCCCCTGGGCTCTTCCTTCTGTACACCTGCTGCATCTGCTTGGCTCCTACCCCAAAACTTCTCCCTCCTCCTCAACTGCATCTCATTCCTGAAAGGACATCAGCACCCTTTGCCTCTGAAGAGAAATGATGGGTCTATATTTCTAAACTTTTCCTACAGCTGCATTCATAAGAGTCCACCATGAGAAGGCTTCAGATTCATCACCTATCACCCGCCACGGTGAAGGCAATAGCTCGTGAGCTCCAGTGCCCAAACCAGCCGCTGCCTGTTGCAGACAGGTGACTGTGAGCAAGCCACACACTCTAAAGCATCAGTTCCCACTCGGGTTACACAAGGCAACCTTCAGAGGCCAGCATGTTGCATCTCACCCTAAACCCTGCATTCACAACACGCCCAGGAGAAGGGCTGCAGGAGCACTCTCAACTCACCTGCTGCTGAGACTCAGCAAGAGCCCCTCCCCCAGCAGCCACAGTCAAGCCCCTGAATCCCCTATACCATGGCTCACACCTTTTCTAAACTAGAAGAGTCTGGCTCATTCTCTTCTAAGGACCACTTCAACGGTGTTATTCCCCCACGTTCCTTAAGGCTATCCACCTGCTGCAGCAGCCACTACACCTCATGATACCTAGCCTGATGGTTCAGACCAGACCTGAGGCCTCCTAGCTACAAGGCAAGGGCTCTGCCTCACACATGACAGCCACACAGGGAGCTCACCACAGTTTGGTCCTTCTCACCTAGTCCAGTGCAATAATCATGCAAATATCTTTTTAAAAACCCAAAATCAAACTAGCAATAAGCTGAACTGCCCTCTCAATAGGGAATACTCTTAAGCAACAGAGCAGTTCTCAAAGCGGTCTCTGGCTGACTGTGTCTGCAACTTGCTGGAAACACGGACGTGTGTAAGGGGGATGGGGGAGTCCCCTTCATCCAGCCGGAGCTGGACCTGTTTGCAGCAGTCCTCTAGATGGTTCTCATGACCCAGGTTGAGCAGCACCGCAGAGTACTGTTCACGTAAACAAGTGCACCTTGTCCAGCTTACCCAGGGAACTTCACTTTTCAGCTTGGTCTCCTTTCAATTACAAAAGTATCCCAATCTGGATGTTGGTGTGGGCACTCCTAACGAGAGAGAAATAAGTTTGTGCTTCCAACAACTACACTAGCTAGAGAGCATTTACGTCAAAATGATTTATCAACTTTAACTTAAAAACAAGAGGCAACTAGCAAAAAACACTGTAATGTATTTAAAAGTGGTTAAGATGGCAAATTTGTTACTATTTTGCCACAATAAAAAAGAAGAAAAACATTGTAGCTAGTTTTGGACCACACTTCCGGTAGAATTAGAAAGCACAGCAAACCTTGTCCTATCACACAGCCTCCAGCTTTCTCCCCCTATACCCGGCCCTGAGCTCACTGGCCCCCTAGGAAGGTCCAGCCCAAATCATAGGGAAGCCTCCTGCCTTCCAGACTGTTCTAAGGTCACCCCAGCAGGGTCCCTTTTATGCCAATACTTCCCTACTTTCCAGCTCCCCTGACTCCAAGCCCCCCAGGAAGGCAAAGCCTTTTCTTGCACCCACTCCTTTACCTCCCTAGCCTAAAAAGGGGTCTGGACCATGCAACTGTGTTGGATAATCCAGTATGGAAGCACCCTAACTCCCCCAGTCATGGTCAACGGCCTGACTCAGGGCCCATTATAGCTCGGTCCTGAGGTTGGTTGGTCAACCACCTCAGGACGGCAACGAAACAAAGGACAGGTGCAGTGACCCGTGGGGTTCAGATGCAGGAACAGGTAGAGCGTGGGGTGGGGATACTGGTGCCATAGGGGTGGGACAAGGTAGAGGTGGGAGTGCAGGTACCCATGGGGGTACGGACACAGGTGGGTTTACTGGTGCAGGCATGGGTAGGCGCACAGGGAGAGGTGGGGTGCAGGTACAGGTTGGGAACACAGGGAAAGGCGGGGTGCAGGAATGAGTGGGTGCACGGGGAGAGGCAGGGTGCAGGCACGGGTGGGCGTACAGGGAGAGGCGGGGTGCAGGTACAGGTGGGGGTGCAGGCACGGGTGAGCACACAGGGAGAGGAGGGATG